GTGAATAATAAAATTCATCTTCATTATCACCTATTATTTGACTTTGATGTACAATACGTACATGATTAATATCATTTTCATATGATTTTTCATTTATTGTTGAATTTGATTTTTCTTGTAACCATTCACAATTATACTGTTCGGTTAGATTAAGTGTTGCTGAACTACCAAAAGCTTTATAATACATTCCTAAAAGAAAAAAAAACAATATAAATAATAAGATAATTTAGTATTATTAAAAGAAATCGAATATGATTATAAGAAAAATATTTCTTTTGAATTAAGAATATGTGTATTTATGTAAAACTAAATGTACTATGAAGATTTTGAAAATAGTTCGAGCTCATTTTTTAATATATACTTTTTATGAAATATGATCGAAAAGAGTAGATAGTTAGATTCTCTTCTCTAAAGATTCGCAAAGGTTATATACATATATTACAATAGATTAACTATTTTCTTATTATATTTTTAGGGAATTAAACTTAAGAATCATGAGGAAATATGCTTTGAAATGTACAAAATAAAATAATCTTACTCTGATTCATTACAACAGCTACACAGTATTTTACATTTTAATTCTACAGAAATTTTGGTAACAGCTGTATTATATTAGATCTCATGGCTGTTCAGTTAAAGAATACAAAAAAAAGAAAAAGTGAATTACAAAGATTTGTCTCATTAGGTCTTCACAAATTCAGGTCGAAAAGTACGGACGGGTTCCGACAGGAAAAACAACGGAAATTGCCGGAACAGAGTGGCAGTATTCCGGTGTTTTTCCGCAGGATACGGTGAATTTTTCTGCGAGATCCGGTTATGGGTCGACAAGCTCAGCTCAGTTCCGCTCAGAGGAACTGTTCAAACAGCTCTTTTGAGCTGTGTTCCCAAAAACAGAACAAAAGTGTTCTATTTTGGGAACACAGCTCAAACGAACCAGTTCAGCTCAAAAGAGCTGTTCGCATAGTTCCTCTGAGCGGAACTGAGCTGAGCTTGTCAACCTCTAGAACCGGTGGTCGAAACCTTCGATCTGGGTACTGGTTTTTCTAGACTATTAAAAATCGCTTTTGATCTATTTGGATACGAGCGTATGAAGACTTAAGGTATTTCTCATGATCGATAGGCTACAACCCACTAGCTTTTTCTAAGACAGAAATCTATCAATAGAAAATGTTTCTCTTCTACGTATATCACCTCACACTATTAAAGGTCGATCAGTTCAGTTCTAATTTGTATCTAAAGAACTGTTGAAAAAAAGATTCGCCGATCTGTTCGAACAATTTTTGAGAAAAAAGCGTTTTCAGGTATAAAAAAAAAACCTACTTGTTGAGTTTTGTGAATAGCACTTCTGATTATGCAAATATCTTTGTTCTGTTACTAAAATACATCAGTTTGGTTACAGAAAAAAAAAAAATTTTTTTCATACAGATCAATTCCTATATAGAAAAACTATTGTATTCGAATAATTCTTTTGCTTATTTTTTTTTCTAAACTTCGAACTAAGAGCTCTTCGATTTTCTACTTACTATTTAAAAGATAAATTATTAAAAATAACAATATATTGATAATAATATAAAAAATATCTATGAATAGAATATTGTATTCAAAAAGAAAACAATTCATTTTAAAATAATTTCTTCTTATTATAATATGGAGAATCAAATGATTATTTATATAGAAGAGAAACAAATCTTGCTAATGAAATCAGTTTCAAGGGAAATTCATTTTTATGACAAATATTCTCTTGAGAAAATTCTATTGTTACTATTTCATATGAAAATACATAATGCATTGTTAATATTCATTGATTACACATATATATATATGACATAAGAATTGTCTCGATAAACTATTCAATTTTCTTTTTTTTTTTTATAGAGTTTCCTTTTATAAACTGTTTATTATTACTCAAAATATTGATATATGAAAGATTCAATACGAAATAAACGTAATCATTTCGTGATGAAACTTTAAAAAAAAAAGGGGACTTTTTTTTTTCAAGTCAATCAACATACATTCATTTAAATTTTTTATATATTCTTCTACAAATTGACATAGGTCATATTTCATAGAAAGTATGCATATGGTTTAATAAACCATAGAAAATAATCAAAAATTTTACTTTTATATATATAATCAGCATATAAAATGTGTAGATAGAATTTTTTTTTTTGCTGATTTATTTCTTATTAAATTATTTTCTTTTTTTTACCAGTTTGTTTTTCTTTTGGTATTAATTGTTCTGATGAACTTGTTGATATTGTTCGTTCAATATTTTTTTCATGTTCATTTAATAGAATTTCATTAGTAATTGAAATCATTGTATCAGATTTTTGCATAGTTTCAATATTAACATTTGTATTTGCATTAAATGTTTTTTCAATATTATCGACAACTAAAAAATAAAAATAAATTAAAAAAAGAAAAGAAAACGACATGCAAATGATATAGACAATAGAACAGTAAAAGAAATACTTAAAATAATAATAAAAAAAAATAAAACGAACGATAAAGAAAAAAAAAAATCATCTTTCGGCTTTTCTTCTAACCAAATAAAATCCATCATATCAATGTGCGTTAGCACGTACAAATATCTTTTGTTGTATTCTCTTATGTCTACGTGTGTCATACGCGTGTTTTGCATCTAATTTTTAATATGCTTATATACCTATAAAGTTCATTTTCGACATGTTCACCTTCCTTTAACATGTACATATATGTATGTATATCTGTACTTCATTAGATGTTCATTGTATGTATAAAGGGAAAAAAGTAAAAGAGAGAGAGAGAGATGAGCCTTTTGGAAGGGCGAGAATACATCGAAGGATTAGTTAATAACCCAATCAGTATAGATTGAATGGGAGTAAAATGAACGGATGGACATTGTACATATGTCTAATGATATAGTGAATATATAGAACGAAAGAAATTCAAGTATAATTGAACTCAAAAAGCGCGCTCGTGACTAAGAGCATTTTGATGATCTCTCAATATATTTCACATCAAACCTGCATAACAGTTTTTTTAACCTTTGATCGATGTGTTAAAATTCTATACAAGTGAGAAAAGAGAAAAAAAAATAAAATAAAAGAATTTTTTATTTACATTTGTCTTGATATAATGATGAAATATATTGTTGGTTATTATTATTATTATCATTATCATCCAATATAATTAATTGATTTGTTTGTAAATAATTTAAATTATCATCAGATAAACCAAGTGCTGAATCTTTTGAATGAAATGTTGATGTTAAAAATTGATTAGTCTGTGTTAAATCATCCGTTGATGATGCTGTTGTATCAATATTATGATCTGATTGATTTAATGAATCATGACTATTTGAAGAATATTGAAATTTATCATAGATTGTATATGATGATAAATCATTTGTATTTGTTGACGATAGGTTTTTAGGTATATTTTCATCATCATCATTATTATCAACATCATCGTTTAACATTCTTCTTCTATTGTTAATTACCTCTAAAAAACGAAAAAAAAAAAGAAAGTAGCACATCTACTACTTTGAACAATTCTATATTTACACACATACACATTTAAAAGTATTCTTTCAATGTTCGAACGTCTTCATTTAATAGACTATTGTCTAAGTACTTCATATCTTTATCAAACAATATAAGAGGCAAAGTTAAAAGAGAATTTTATGTTTGATTTTTGATTGAAAACAACAATCCGATTTTCTTTTTTTTCGTAGCTACTATGAAGTATTTGGATTGATGACTTACTTTGTAGAAATATGTGACCTCCTTCATGATTGAACAGTAATCAAAGATACAAGAAGAAGAAGAAGAAGAAAAAAAAAACGAATGACGAGGTAATATATTCGATATAATTTTTTTTTTTCTCTCACCTTGTGTGTACTATTCAAGAGCAATGACACATATGTATATATACATCATTTATTCTCCTCTATGTTAGTAATAATAATAAAAACTTACCTTGACCATCATTTTCAATCGATGATGTTATTGATGATAATAATGATTTTGATCGTTCATTTATGAAAGGAATTTCATTTTGTTCATATATTATTGAAGGATTGATCTTTTCATAATTACTATTGATAATATATGTGTCAAAATCGACCTTTTCACAATTAAAACTTGAACTTGACATGTCTAGTTATAGAAGAAAAAAAAAAAAAGAAAAAAGAGAGAAAGAATGAGAAACGGAGGATTGAATGTTTCTATTGTTTATTGATTGAACTATCATTGCCATCAAAGCCGATTGTTCGTTCTTCTCTTTTCTAACCTTGATTCATGCAGCTGTGGCCTCGAATGGATATATGTTTATAGCTTTTTATTTTTTTTTTTTTTGCTTCTCTTTTTTCTTCATCTTCATTGAAAAGAAAAAAACAAACAAAGAGCTTAAACGACGAAGAATAATTGATTCTAATGTCATCGAAGGACTCATTCTTGACGAAGGAATTTAAGTAAACGAAAGATATTTTGTTTGTAATATAAAAATTTACGTAGCAAGCCTGTTAGTATAGTACGATTTTTCGTTTTTCTTTCTGTTCTTTACAATATTCAGATTACGTCGTGCGTAACTGTGAGGATGAATGAAAAATCCAATTTTTCATATATATATATATATGTTGCATTAAAAGAAAATTTCTTGAATCGATGAAGTAGATCACTTGATTGACTAAAGTTATTTAAATAACAACACTTAATAATAATTTTCTTAAGTTCAAAATCGATACTTAACACATAGAAAAGTACAAAAGATTAAGAGTAAATTTCATACGAGAATTAAATGAATATTAAAAGTAAATAACAACTAAGTTTTCAAAATTTGATTTAATTGATGAACAAATCAAAGCTAAATTTATCGAAACTCATGAAATTATAACTTAATCAAAAAAAAATATCATATCAAACATTTTAACATGCAATGTAAAAAATGAAATTTTTCTTAATCTCAACTATTTCTTTCTCATATGATTTATGGTAAATTCCAAAAAAAAAAAACAAAAATTAATCTTTACCATTAAGACTATGTTCATCATCTTGTTCTTCTTGATGTATAAATGTTTGTGTTTGATGAAAATCACTATTATTACCTTTTGATATATTTGATAAATTAAAATTATCAAGAACAGTTATTATTTGTGATGATGATGATGTGTTAATTGTACTTTGTGAAGTCGGTATTGATACAATTGATGATGAACGACTTGATAATATTGAATCATTTTGATATTGATTTGTATCTGAAAGAAATACTGTAAATGCACGATCAATCCATTCACCAAATGTTGGTAATTTAAATTCAAATTGAGAAGGAATTATTGTTGAATGATTTATTAATGTTGAATTTTCTGTTGTTATAATTAATTCATTTGAATTATTTTTAATTACATTATTATCTTCATCATCATCATCACTAATTGTTTCAAGTTCATAAGTTTTATATAAATTATTTTTCATTGAACAAATACTTTCTTGTTCAATTATTTTTATTGATTGTTTTTCAATAAATGAATTATCAGTTAATAAAAATAAATCATTATGATCTGTTATTAATTCTGATGATTGTTCATCAATAGTTAATGTTATATTTGGTTGATAAATTTTTTGTTCACTTTCAATATCAACACCTGAATCAATTGTTATTTGTGAATATTCAGTTGATAATATTTTTGAACAATTTATTAAATTAATATGATTTTCATTTTGTTCATTATTTAAAGATAATAAACGTGTATTTAATTTTTCACGATAATCTTCAATTGTTGTTGTTGTTGGTCGATCAATATCTTCAAAATAATGTGAATTTATTTCATCAACATCTTCATCTGTACTTGCATATGATATTGGTTTTGATTTAGATTTAGATTTATGAAGAGATTTTGATAATGAATAATTAGTTTTTTCATTAGATTTTTTAGATAATGATATATTGTTTTTATCACAATTAGATAAACTATTATCAGGTACAATTGAATCTATTTGTTTTGTATTAGTATTCATCGAAGATTTTTCTAATACTAAATAAATAAAGAAAAATTAAAGACTATTGTCCTTCTTTTAATTATGATAATAGAAATAAACATAAAGATTAGAAAATTTCAAAAGAATGAATTATATATAAACTTTTTTGAAGAGATTGGAATAATGAATATTATTAGAGAAACGGTTCGCTTATTTCACATTCTTGGAATAAACATTTTTTGATCATCAAAAAATTAGTATGGATATGACTGATGAAATCTTATTTTAATCCATACTCTACAGACCGAGATAAACGAACAATTCTTGCACTAGAAAAATGATTAAAAGCGATCGTCCGTAGAAAAAAAATAAGCTAGTAGATGACCACTGTTTATGGTCAATAACTGATTCATAAGTGAATATCTCCCTAATCATATGAAGAAAAAAAGCTAGAAAACTTCAGGATACAATTGAAGACATGAATAGCATTTATGATAAAATTTTTAACAAAACCGGACTTAAAAAATAGTTCCTTATAAAAACTGTTTTTTTTTGTAGAGACTTTTTAGCCTTAGAAGTTATCTATAGAATTTACTATTTAGTTTTCAAAAGTATTTCTTCAATTCGAACTTTTTTAAAACGCAATTGTATGAAATAAAAGTTGATGTTCTTTTTCCACTAATGACTTCACTGAACAAAAATCTCCAGCACTAATTTTATTCTAACTTACATGTCATATATAAAAATTGTTTAATAGACAAATTTATCATCTCGATAAATATATATATATATTTTAATTTTGTAAAATCACGTCACTAAGAAATGATTTTATCGATATCACGTCTATTATATAAGGTCAATGAATATATATGAAAATCGTTATTTATTCTTACATCATTTTCATCTTCAAGATCTATAGTTGTCAAAAAAACTAAAAAGATTACACTCGCTATCTGAAAGATCTACTCCCTAGATATATATACTGTCGATTTCATATAACATCTAGATTAGGGAAACAAAAAAAAGAGAAACGACAAATACTTCCGCATAAATGATATATTATATACTTCGTATAAATGGGAAGGATGAAAAATATTTTGACCTTAATGACAATAATCTAAGAAAATCATTTGTATTCTATGATATAGGAAGGAAATATTTAACAGTTTTAGAATTTGTATCAACTTCAATGCATAAGAGATTCTTTTCTTTCTTTTATTTTCTTTTTGTTATATACTTATAATACTCAAATGTTTTTATGATGGTTGTAAATAACACTTTCTAAGAGTACTCAATTCAGGACGTTGATATATATATATATATATATTACATCTAATATTAATGTATTTACAAAGATCTTCTAGTTGAACATTCACAAAGTATCTAATATTCATACGATTAAGTATTTATAATATATTAATAGAAAAACATTCTAAAATCAGTTTTAAAAACTTTTTTTTCTTATGATCGTATAAAACTTGTCGAATTGATCTAGATCATTTACTTTTTTTTGTTAATAAAAGTTATGTTTTAAAAGATGATAAAAATCAATTTACTATTATATCTTATAGAATATGAATGATTATTAGAATTTTAATATCTTGAAATGGCAACATTTTCAGAATATTCTATTGATTCAAAAACTTTTCTATAGACAAAATCTTAGATCGAAATATTATCATTCAATTTATTATATCTGCGACTGAAATTTCAGAAGTTTGAATTCAAAAAGTTATTGACATTTTTTTGTTTCACTATGAAATATAAAACAAACATTTTGAAATCGATCGAAAATTTGCAGTTTCTAGTTTTTTCTTTTTTAAAGATCACATTAAATATAATACCTTCATGAGTTTTGTTTAAATGATTTGAATTATTATTATCAGAATGAAAAATTAATGGTGTTGATCGATTATTTTGTTCACTAGATGATCCAGTATCTGTATGATTATCTGATAAAGATTTTTTTGGATATGTTTTTTTTTTTAAACGATTATGTTTATGTAATTGATGATCACTATGCCATTTAGTTTTTGAATATTGTAATTGTTTACCATTTCCTTCAATATTCCATTTTATATATTTTGTTTTATTTAATAATGATGGTTGATAACGTTTTGTTGTTGTTATTGATATAATATTTCCTTGTGAATGATTAGAATTTTTTGTTTGTTGTATTGATGATGATGATGATGATGAAAAAAGTAAATGAGATGCTGATCCTGTTAAATTTTGACATGATGATGTTAAAATAGAATCTGGTGATATATCAAAATTTTGCCAATAATCAATTTGACCACGTTGTAATATAATATTACGTGATAATATTGGTATAGAACGTTTTTTATTATGAATTATTGGTGGAATTTGTTCAATAGAATATTTTGGATAAATATTATTTTCTTCATCATTAATATTTATATTTGTATTTTTCCAAACATATGGAATTGTTTTTGTTAAACCAAATGAATTAATTTGATTATTTGTATTTGTTAGTTGAATAAGATAAATTGATGATGATGATGATGATGATTTAGGTGATAAATAATTTGTTGGATCAGTAGATGTTAATATTGAATGTTGACAATTTTGAGAAGATTGAAGTTTTTCAGATATATGTGATGATGATGATGATGAACGATTTTGAGATTTTGAAAGACGACGATGTGATGAATGAGATTTTTTTCTTAATGGCGAAATTGATTGTGAAGAAGATGATGATGATGATAAAGAACTGGATGTTAATAAATCATTTGATGTAGATTTTGATTTTGAATGACGACCTAGAAAACAAAATTTGCGCTCTTTAGATTTCAGCAGTCTATTACAATGATGTAGTTAGAAAAAAAAAGTTCTAGACGAGACTAAAACCATCTAGAAAGCGATTCAAGTCTCTTTTTAAGAAGACTGTTGAAATATATAGTGGTCCTTACGCTCATACAGATCATGATAGACACTCTAGAGATCCATTACAGACTATGACAGATGCAAACCAAGGACTATTACAGACCGTGACAGATGCTCATCAGAAACTATGATAGACCGTAACAGACACTAGCCAAGGACAATTACAGACCGTAACAGACGTTGTTGATATACTATCAATAACATCTCGTTATAATATATGAACTTCTTGATGTATTTCTGAAGGACTAATCAAAAGAATATTAAAGAAAATGTATCCTAAATTAATCGTCCTATGATTAGCAACAGCAGCTCCAAGATGTATTATACATTTTTAACCTCGTAGGAATTGTACTAATAGATTTCTTTTTTTTTTCTTAAACAGAATGTAACCGTTTGTAAAGAGAGAAGGGACCTAGTACTTCTTTGTTTACACCCCTAGCCTATCGATCAAATAGGAAATCAATCATGATATTTAGATTATGCAATTATAGTTTTAAAAAAAAAATATGTATACACATGACTTGAAATAATATATTTTATTTCTGTTATTCTGTTCGATCAACAACAACAACAAAAAGCCAAAGGACGAATATGAATTTTAAGTGCCCTTGAAAAAAACTTATCTTAACTTAGATACATTCAAACTGCATGAAACATGACGTTTTCAAGAGATATTCAATAAATAAAAGAAAAAACATAACAACTCAAAATTTTTCTTTGAATATTTATTCTAATTATAAATCTACTCTATTATATAATAGTAATAAAATTTAATTTACAAAAAAATTAGGGATTACAGTCATGATCTGCACCTTGACATGCTCTTTCAATACAAAGCAAAATGTTAATATATACAATAAAAGTTTGACAAAAAATTCTCAGTCGTACCATCACAAAAAAGCATATTTATCAAACAGCAGATAACGGAAATCAACAAAAATCATGTTTTTTTTTAAATAAAAGGTCATATCTCGGATGTATCTATCTCAATTTCAAATTTTTGTTGGTAGGTGTGACCTTCATCTTCAATCGTTCAATGACTTATAACAATAAAATTCAAAATGATAATTTCTAAAACTTTATAAAAGAAAAATCCAATACGAATTATTTAGTTGAATATTCTCATTATAAACTTGAGATTTTCTTTTCGTTTTTTTTTTGATCGATTTGATTAGATTATCAAAGATATCAAAACACAATAGTCTATCATCTTATTCTTTAATGATCAACAGAAGGAGGCAACAAATATATATAACTCCTCAACATGATTCTCATTTTTTTTTTTTTTTTTTGTATAACCTTATAAGTTGTTTTCTTTCAATTATACGAATGACATTGAGAACAAAAAGAAAAAAGAAGATCAATTAAAAAAATATTGAAAATCTAAATAAATACCTATAGAGTTTATATGTCTCTGACTTTTCTACTGTTCAAGATCGAAGAATAAAACAAAAAAAAAAAAACCATATATTGTTTACTTGAGGATATAGATGACTTATATTCTGATATGACTATTAACTAAACATAATGAATGATTGTATAATGACCTTTAGCAAATAAAATGTTTGTATATCATCTTCAATCTTTTGTTAATACATAAGAAGAAAATATCATGTTTATAGATTTTTATTTCTTCTTCTTCCTTTTTTTTTTTTCTTTTCTGTTGTTCATATTTGATTGTTAATTATTAATAATTTACTTACCACGTAAAACAAGTATTGTTTTATTAACACATGTACTAATTGAAGGAAACATAGACAATCTTTCTTTTTTTTTATTACTGCAATTGTATAAAAAAAGAAAATATTACGTTGTATTATAACAAAATGACAATAAAGACAATGTATATATCGATTTCGATCGATTTAAAGCGTATGTTTCAAAATGTAATACATAATGTTAATATTAATCGTTTATTATCGACGCCGCCTACTAAGTAATGACATTAGAAAAAAAAAAAAGAGAAAACGACTTGAGCATTGTTCATCGTATACTTCTCTTTTTCTTTTCTCTTTCGTTCGTCGTTTTTTCTTTTTTTTTTTTTCTTTTTGGTCATCAAGACAAAGAGATTTATGACCATAAACACGCACATACGATCACTAATTATACATAGTACTCTTCTATCTATATTTCTTCCGTTCACAATTATTACTAGTAGATAAATGATTGACTAGAAAAAAACAAAAAAAAAATAAAACAAATTGCCTTTATTATATTTGTTAGACTGACTTTTTATGAATAATTATAATTCTCTAATGAATTTCAATTGTACTTCATTGATCATTCTGATCGATTCGAACATACAAATACATAAAAAGTAATCAATGACGCACAAATAGTAATGGTAGACATAATCGAATATACTTATACCACCTTACTATTGTTCTACTATTATTATTGTACTTTGATCAAATTACTCTATAACATTAGTGAACATAGTCTATTTGACCGGAAACAACTATATCAATGAAACAAAAAAAACAAAAAAGAATCATCAAGTTTCTTGACCGGATACTTTTTTTCTCATTTTTCAAGCAATTTTTATTATTTCCTATGTGTAAATGTGCAGATGATGAAACATATACACAAAAGAATATACTAGCCAGGTGAATATGAAACCCATGTATATTTATTTCTTAAAACTAATTATAAATGAATTTACATCATATATAAAGAATTCAGTCAATTCTGAAAGTATTCGTTTTTGATAATAATCGTTGCTTATCAACGATAGTTTAAGATTATTCTATTGAAAAAAAAAACTATATCGATTGTAACTTGCTTGATTCTATAATTACTCGTACCATTAATTTCATACGTATTGCTGAAGAATACAAAAAAAAATAAGCAATGACTTGGCATTCTTTGTCTATTGCTAATATCAACAATTCCCATAATATCTTCTGGTTTAAACAATCAATCATTCGAATTTTCGATTATTTATGATAATACTGTCTACAGACATGATTGAGAATCATTGATAATAATTTACAAAAAAAAACAGAATAGAACTCAATCTACTTATACTAATTTCGTTTTTTTTTTCTTTTTTTCAACTTTATCATAGTATATTGATAAGAATACTATGTCTATATGATGGTGATGTTGTCTTTAGAGATTATTAATAATGAAGCGTGAGAATGTAGACGTATATAAAGAAACATCAATGACTGAGAGCTAAAGAAAAAGATGTCACCTCGATTTCTTATTATTGAAAATGAAGAAGAAATATGAGATCATATCACAATAAACTAACGTAAGCCCTACATTTAATCATTGACTACATATCGTTATACGTATATTCATTCAATCTCAATCTATTGTTCTTTTCTTTTTTTCGTTCATAATCCTCTTTCTACTATCATCATTAAAAATAAATGAATCAATTTAAATCAAACGAAAAAAAAAAATGAAACAAAAGAATCATTGAAACTATTTCTATACCTTCTTTATATCGACCTCGTCGTTGTCGTTTATCTAATATTGATTTATTATGTTTATGTTTTTTTTTCTTTTTTGTTAATACTTGTTCATCCATATTATTTAATTGATGAGGATAATTTGTTTTTATATTCTGTTTCTCTTTTAATGATGTCGTTTCATTATCAGATATAATTTGTGATGTTCGATCAGCATCATCATTTAAACTAAAAATAAAAAAAAAAAAAAATTTTTTTTTTTTGGTTCTTCTTGATTCTGAACAATCGCGATCTAACAACACCTGTTCTATGATTAATAACAAATGCCTCCTTCTTTGTTTCCATATCAGTTATATCAAATTGATTCTCAATCAAATAAGAAAAAAAAAAACCAAGAAATTTAAATTACTTGTTGATATAAATAACATACTCATACGAAAATTATCCACATACTAAACTTAAGAATAAATAAATGAAAATACAATACAAAAAGAAAAAAAGTGAAGTAAAACTTTTCTTCTTTATTTTGTATATGTACATGTTACTTCTTTCATTTTTTCTCTGATAGACAAGGAGAATTTTCAAGTGTCCAAAGAAATATTAACCTTGAAGTAATGCAAAGTAGAAATAGAAACGACTTTCAAATATAACAAAAAAAAAAAAAAAAGAAGAATCTGTCTTCTTTACTAATAATCAATACAAAAGTAAAATTATAAATTTCATTTCATTCAAAGAAAAAAAAAGAAGTTCTTCTAAGGTAGCTCAATGAATATTTAATATTATCACATTGATATACTTTACGTGTTAAGTAGTTTTTTTTTCACATGTATATCAATGAACAAGAAATCATAGAAAAAATTTTGAAAAGAAAAAAGATTGTACATGACAAATGAATACCTCTTTTATTTTTTCTTTGTTAGTATTCTCTTTATTTCACAGAAAACTTGTGAATTTTAATACATGATTATAATTTTATCTTTTCTTATATTGATTGAGAAAAAAAAAAAAAAAAAAACCTTGAAGAATCACATCTTTTTCTTTTTTTTTATTGTATGTCGGAGTAGTTTATATTCTATTAAAAAAAGTGTAACAATTAGACATGTGTAAAATCAAAACGATATCGATATCACGAAATACCTTATTGTTCAAATAAGAATAAATAATTATTTAGATCATACCAAACAAAATAAGACTTAGGAAAGATGATTAAGAAGAGGTATTCATAGATAGACGTAGCAGTGATAGAAAAGAATAGTCATATTCTCACTCATAAGTATGTTTACGCTTGTACTCTACATGAAAGAATAAGTAGCTATCTGAAAAACTTAAATTTTGCACATCTCTACTAACGATGTTACTGTTTATTTTGAAAACATGAATAAAAACCTTGTAGATTTTTTACATAGAAAGAAAATAGAGTCTTTCAAAATGATGAGACAAAACAAAAAAACTAAACCTTGAAATGAAAAATCACTTGATAAATTTGTGGAATATACTTAACAGAAGATTTTTTATGTAAGTTTGGTTAAAATTTTGTTTTTTTTTTAATAAAAAATACATATATTGATTTGAAGAGCTATTAGACAAAACAAAACTTAAGTTTTTTCGTGTGTCATACGTTTGAGAAACTAAAATATATGCATAAGGATTTGTTTTTTGAAAGAATTTACTTTCTTTTTCTTTTGAAATTCCTTACAGATCATATTGACTTTTATAGTTATGAAAATTTCCTATGGATACTAAATTTGTAAGTATTCCGAATGTAGAAAGTATAAAAGATAATTAAATCTATGTTTCATTTTATCGATCTTTTTTCGATAGATGTTAAAACTTTTTCAAGGTCAATAGAAATTAAAAAAAAATAGGTGAATTTCTATTAATGATACTAATTTTTTAATATCGACTTAAGTTAATAGAAAAATTGATTTTTTCTTGTTTTGTCTTTCTTAGTGTAATAAATCTTTTATCCTTTAAGTAGCTGTTCTCAAGATATAAACAAGCGGTAAAATAAATTAAACAAAAAAGAAGAAAAGTAGCGGAAATACTATTAGATTGAAAATGAGAAAAAAGAAATATTCAAACAATAATTTATATATTAAATTTGATAAAAGAGATAATATTTTCGGCATATTTTATGAAAATAATGTATTTTACATTGCTAAAAATATATTTGAGGCCCCCCCTCCGCTCAAAAAAAGTCAGTTTTCGCTAGAATGGTCAAAATTGAGATAAATACATGGAAAGATAGCCTGTAATTTGCTCTTTCATAAATGATAAAAACTTCTCTTCGATATCACATTTTTTCCAAAACATTTTCGAGATTTCTGACAACCTCTATTCGAAAAATCAAAAAATCTTTTTCGTTTTTTCTCAGTCCACGATATCTCGAACGTGCAAACCAAATTTCTCTGTCGATACTCGTCCAATGTATTTTTTTTTGTTTGAAAGAACGCGTCAAGACGCAGTGCAATACAGAGCGGTTTTTTTTTATTATATATACAGACACTTATATAACTTGACACCCATTTTTTAAGGGTTTTTTGAGTCATTGAACTTTCGATCCCTTTTGTTCCCTAAAAAAGTAAGTATTTAAGAATAATGGCTCTGTACTGCATTGCATCCTGACATGCTCTTTCAAACAAAAAAGAAAAAATTTTAAATGCATTACACGGACCCGAACTGAGAAATTTGATTTGCCAAATGCGCAATTTTTGACCCTTGTTTGACTGATATCTCGCCAAAATATCATGATATCGGACTGAAAATTTTACTATAGCCTTCCCACACTAACCCCAACATATCCTGAAAGTTTCATGTCATTTGAACGCTCTTCGGCTGAGATCGATTTTTGAGGGGGAGGGGAGACCTTAAATATTTCCTGATCTTTTTAGTTTTTGATTAAAAATGAAACCTTTTTAATAGAATCGTTTTCTATGTTTTCGTCAGACATATTTTTGTTTTTTTCTTACCTATCTAATTCATATAAATCATCAGTTGTTTTTGGTGATAATGATAAACTAGGAGTTAATATTAATCGTGGAATTTTTGTTTTTTTATTTGACGATTGAGTTTTATTAATTGATGATGGTGATGATAGTGAATAATTACTTATTGGTGTTGAAACTCTTACCGGTATTTTTGATAATGATTTTTTTCGATCATTTAATTGTAATAATGGAGAATGTTCAGCTGATTTTGATTTTATTATAGATGACGATGATGATGAAGTATTTACTATTGTTATTGATGGATCATGTGAAATAGCACGTCGTTTAGATTTAGTCATAGTACGTTGTTGATTTGGTGTTTTAGCTCGTTGATGTTGATGACGAAAATTTGGACATGATGGTTCATGTTTATGATGATGATTATGATCATGATGAATAGGAATAAGTGATACATTACGAAAATTTTTTAATGATTCACATTTACACGTCATACAACGTGGACAAAGTGGTACTGGTATTGGATCATAACCATGTAATAAAGGATCACGCCAATCACGAAGTGTTTCAGCAAAAACTAAATGTTCATTTGAAGGTGTTGAAAAAATTCTAAATGAATTATTATCAGAATTTTTTATTGATTCAGCCATTAATTATTAATATTCTAACATAAATTTGAATTGAGACAATAATAATGTAGTCTAAAATAGTTATATGTATGCATCATAGACTATATATATATATATATTGTTCAATAAGAATATATATGAGAACAATGAATAAAATAAAAAAAAAAAAGAAAAGCCAATTGATTTCTTTATAAAAACGAAAGAGAACATAAAATACATTTTATTTTTATCTACCACTCGCACTCATGACTTCAGGGTTGAATTGAACTTTTCGCCTTGCATTTTTAAAGTCACAAATGTAACGATTACAATAGCTATTCTTTTTTCTATTACTCTTCGAATATTGAATATTTCTTCAAGTAAAATATGCATAGTTAAACATAATAAAGATATCATTTATAACTATTATTTGCAGCTAGAAATCACCTAAAAAAGAAAAATATCTTTCTTTCCGAAACAAAATAATTTCTTTTTACTTGATTTATGTCTAGAGACTTAACAACAAAGAAAACAAAACGAAAAGAACAATACCATATATACAAAGATCGATATATCATCATTATAAAAGCAATTAATAAATGAATAGAATAAAACAAAAAATAGTACCGACAGATAAACTCATTTAATGACATTGAAATTTACACATTGTGTGACTCGAATATTATCGTCAACATCATTGCATACAATTTAATTTAAGCCAAAGAAAGAAAAGAGATAAATAGAAAATTAAATGCAAATGCACACAGCAGGAGACATAGATTAATATACAAAGTAGTCATTGTTTAAAGAATAATTATTAATTATAGTTTTATACTTTTTTTTTGACTATTGATAATTAGTCTTGTCTTACCTTTTTTTTTAAACTTCCGTCAATTTTTTTTGTTGTCATATATCTGGAGAATAAATGATTTCCGAATGAATATTCATTAAAACGATCGATCGTTTTTAATGTATGCCAATTAAACTAAATCCATTTATCATATCAATGACATACGTTTTTAGAAAGAAAAACAAAAAACAAGCAGATAGACCAGATGAAGATTCGTCTTTTGTTTGGTTTTTTTCTTTTTTTATGAAAAATTTTCAATCATTTTTCATGATATATTTTTTCCTATGCCTGTTTCGATAATAAAATGTCTTTGTTAGGATTCTTTCTCTTTTTTTTTTTGTAACTTAAAAACAACAAAACAGAAAAAAAAGAAAAAAATATGAATAAAAAGATTTTTTAACTAATACATTTTTTTTTGTTTTCTATACCATTTGGTTTTTTTTTTTCATTTCTCACCTAACAAAAAAAAAAGTCGACTGACGACAGTTAAGAGCATGACATATTCTACCCAATTCATATTTTCTCTTACTCATATACTTGCTCTCATGCGTCAAGTGTTCGTTGAAAACAATAAGTGGTAGTGACGTGATAAGCTTGAGTAAAGACAAGAGTCTGATGTACAGTGAAAACGAAGAAGACGACAAGAAAAAAGAAAAGAACTTGATGTAAATCTTACATCATTTATTATGTACATTTCTCAAGTTTATATTCTTTTTTTTTTCTTCATGTATCTATTATTACAATAAATGATTTATTAAATTTATATACTTTATTGTTATCTTCTTACTCAACAAGATGATTCTAATTTTTTTTTTTTTTTTACGATAAAAATATGATAGTTCGCCGAAACCAAAATGAAGCACGCAATGTCAAAATATAAACAGAACAAACAAGTTTCAAAGAGTTCTAATGGTTAATCAATAGAAAGCATTCTTTTTTTATTTCTTCTCGTCTCATGCGCAAGTAGCACACCTTTTCTCGAGAAAAAAAGAAGGATGAATAAGCAGTACCGGTAATAAGAAGCAGTGGAAAAAAAAGAAAACGTGTGCTATATTAAAAAAAAAAGAGGTTTTTTTTTCTCTTCAAATAATAGTACCTGATCGATGTTGGTTTGATGATGTGAGTAGCCCACACAAGCTGTATATAGTAAGCATATTGTATTGCTTGTTAGTACCAACATCTGACGATGAAAACAATTTTGTTTTAATAGAGTTAGTTCCGTGCATATATATATATATATTGAATATGCTAAATATAGAGAACATTTTTCATATTATCATCTTTGGTTACGTTATTAATAAAGAAAAAAGTGTTAAAAGTACAAATGAGAGAAAATAGGTTAAGTGTTTGTTGTTTTTTCTTATTGTTTCCCATAGTGATAAAAGTACCTTGTATTTAATCATATTATTACGTTGTGTTATATAAAGGTTCGAATAGAGAAAAAAAAAGAAAGGAAAGAAACCACATAACAGTACGTATCGTTCATTTGCCTTTTATCACTATGACATATGCTTCCAATCAATGTTGAACAAGAATCATGTATGATTGTGCAAATATAAAATTTGTACTATTATTATTATTACAACATAATATTGAAAAGTGTCGCTTGGCATGATGATAGTTCAGTACGTGCATACATAAGACTTGTCATTGTTTCTTTCTATCTCTCTTTTCATATGAATTTGCACGTCAACGAATGAAAGTACATACAAAAAGTGAATTGTGTTACTACAATACTAATAATATAGACACACTTTAAAAAAAGATCTTCAAAACATACCTTAGAATAATAATGTAATAATCAAATTAAAATTATGGAGAATGTAAAAAAAAATATGTTTTATTGGAACTTAGAGTTCTAATATATATATATACATATGTATATATATGAATGATAGGATACATCAATTGAAGGATGTTCATTATTCTTATTGTAATCATGAAAAAAAATGGATGTGTGATCAAAAATATTTGTGATAGATTTCTAAACTGCGTTTGCAAAACGTACGATGAAGTGTTTTATGTCACTGCTCAAATGGATGAATTATAATAGACTTTAATACATAAGAAAATTTGTTTTAGTTGAAATTTTTCAGAGATCAGTGGTCGTAATAAGAAACTTTGTTAAAAAAAAAAGTGTCAGTCCGATACATTAGACTATGTTGAAGTTCTAGCTGATTGATATTTCATTTATGAGCTTCAGGAAAATTCTTTAGGAAGTGATACACTCATAATATTCAATCTCATTTTTCTTAGTTCAGATATTAAATATAAAAAATAGAGTTGGACAAAAATTTAGCCTCACTTAGAGATTCAAAACGAAGAAAATAAAAAAAAATTTTTGATTTTAAACTGTCTGTGATGAATTTCATTCGTTTTCGAATGAAAAATCAAATGTTGAGAAAAACAGTAAATAAGTTCAAATATTATCTTTTACATTAAAATCCAAGAAAACTATTTACAAAATAACTTATTCATGACGTAAACAAGCAAACGTTTGTATTTGAAGCAAGTAATAGATGCGTTGACTATCAAAGTATAGAGTGGTTGAATAATATTCGTTTTCTCACTATCATAAAACTTGTTCCAAAAAAATTACTAAATAATGTCTACTTAATGATTAATATGAAAACGTTTTATTCTATGCTTTCTTTACAAGTATTAGTTTTGTTAATAAGTTTTTGTAGCATCGTTGGATAGAGATTTTGTATTTTCCAGAGATTTACCAAAAAGACTGCCCCAACTTGAAGTTTGTTAAAACTAAACTATGTAAAATATAACTCGATAGGGTGTGAGTGTAGGCATCGGTAACAGAGCTGTCGGCCTGGCCTGCTGCCTGACAGGCGCCTGGCAGGCCCTCAGGCTGTCCACCAGGTCAGGCCGAATTCTGAAATTTTAGCCTGGCCTGTTCCGTCCAAATAATATCCGACCTGGCCTGCAGGTCAGGCCAGGCTGAAGTTGTTGGCCTGCAGGCTAGACCAGATCAAAATGATCAGCTTGTCCATGTAAAAATTTTAACAAAATTTAACGATTTAACGAAAAGAAGGCATAACATTTTTCACTATTAATATGTGCTAAACGTTCTTTTTAACAAATCTCATTTGTTAATTCAAGCTAAACTGTTTCTGTCGAGATAGAATGTGTGGAATTTCGTTAAAAGCCAATTTTTAACGTATTTTCAGATGTATAACCGTAATATCTTTTCTCGTTAAATCACAGAATACTTATTCACTTTTACTTGAGTAGTTCCTAAATGTTGAAGATCAAATATTGATGCATGGTCTTATTATCCGAAACTGATTTAACAAATCCATGCGATTCTAGCGGTCAAAACTTGTACTGAACATTAATTTAATGTTATAGGATCTGTATTCACTCACAGAAGAGCTTGTTTAGATTCAGAACAAATGGATAATAAATTTTGTGATCGTGTATTCATAAAATTTGATTCTTAAATAAAAATCTCGTTGCCTCCCATCATAAGTAACACTCATTGACGATATTTTTGTTCTGTATTTTCTTTACCTATTCATTCTACGCTTCGTCATATGTTGTTTAGTTATCATGGATATATTTTTTCGAATAATGCAAAACAGATTTGCTACAATCGAAGGCATTTTGTTAATTGAAGCCTTTCTCGGACGGTGTGTGGGTGTCAAAAGACCTAGACAGATTAACATCCACTCACACACTATAGAAGTATCCTTTCTTCAAAATGGCCGACTCCAACAGGTCTTAATATGTTGAAAAAGAGACCTATAAGCTAAACAAAAATCTGTTGACTCACCATTGAAAGCATTGTTTAGGCTTTTCAACAAGTTCCTCACTACACTTAAATAAAAATCAGTATAAGATATGCAAATTCATATTCGAACTTTGCAGGCAATATGAATTAGACCAGGCCAGGCCGCAAAAAAGTGGTCTGCCGGCAGCTCTGATTAGTACAGAGTTATTGAATTTAAAGGATTTCAAAAATCAGAAGCATCAATCGGCCTGGTTTGATCTGCAGGTCAGGCCAGGCCAGGCCAGGTCAGGCAGCAGGCCAGGCCAGGCCGGAAAAAAGTGGCCTGTTGGCATCTCTGATCGGTAAAGGTGAAGAGCAGCTCAAAACGCACACCCAACCATCCAAATTCATATCCACACCGTTTTTTCTTCATACTTCGGTTATTGTGTGTGTGTGTGTGTGTGTGTG